CCCTCAACTTCTAGGAAGGACCAGCACCCTCCTGACCCCCATCACCTGCATTAAACAAGTCTCTTTCCTCTCAAAGCCAAGTATACCACCTTCTCCCCATCCTCATCTGTTTGCTACTCTAAAGGGGGGGTGGGTTAGTAAACCAGCTCCCGGGTGGGAAGGGGTGAAGCCCTGATTTTTAGTATTTACCAATTTCTGTAACTCTCCCACCAGGCAAATTTCAAGCTACCAACACAATGCCACTGAATGTGGAGCTGGGAAGAACTGCAGAGTTGGCTCTGTGGTTACAGTGATGCACAGAGAGGGAAGCTCGCCACTCATCAGGATCCTTCCTTGAAACTTCTGACCTCCACCAGCACATGGGCTGCCAGAGAACAGGCACTGATTACTCCTTCCCTTCCTCCCCCAGCCCTGATTCTTCTCCATCACATTTAGTGGGCTATGTACTGTGTCCTCTCCCCAATAAGACTGCAAACTGTGAGATCCTTAAGGACATCAAAGATGGAGTTAGAAATTCTTTCCTCCCGCCCTGCTAGTGTTTTTTCCATCATCTTCTGAGTCTCTTTTCCCTATGTCCTCTTTCTCTAAAAGTGCATGTTTTCTCAAGACTCGGTCCTCTGCCCTCCCCTGTCTACTCTGTCATTAAGCCTTTCTGCTCTGATACTTTCATTTCTGACACACAGGCTCCTCCAAGCAGGTACTGAGATGCAAAATGGAACGTATGCAAGGGAGCATGACCCTGCCGACTGCAGATTTATTCTGTCTAGGGACAGTGTGGTATGCTGAAAAAGCATAAGCATTGAAGCCAGACAAACCTGAGTTTAGTTATAAACAAGTCACTTTTCAGAAGATAGACCAGTGGCTACCAGGGATGGGAGGGGGGCAGGGAGTGACTGCTAATGAGTACAGGTGTTTTTTGCGGGGGACAGAAGGGAATGAAAATGAACTGAACAGTGGTGATGGTCGCACAACTCTTGTGATACACAAAAAATCTCTGTGTACACTTTTACAAAGTGAACAATATCTCAACAAAGCTGTTAAAAATGTTTTAAAACAAGTCCCTTTTCACCTCTGGTGATCAGTTTTGTCTTTAGTAAGATAACGGAAGTGAAAAAGGTGGTCTCTAAGGCCCCTCTACAATTCTGTGACTATAACTGCAGAAGTCACATTGATTCTTCCCCTTACAAGCCAGCATAGCTGCAGTGGCTAATCTGGTTTCATCATTCACAGCTATGTGACTTTGGGCACACCACTCATTCTATACCTGATTTTCCTCATCTATAAAATGGGGATAATATTAGTACGTGCCTCCTAGGGGCACCTGCGTGGCTCAGTTAAGCATCTGACTTCGGCTCAGGTCATGATCTCACGGTGAGTTTGAGCCCTACATCGGGCTCTGTGCTGTCAGTGTAGAGCCTGCTTCGGACCCTCTGTCCCCCTCACTCTCTGCCCCTCCCCCACTCATGCACACTCTTGTGTCCATGCACACGCCCGCTCTCTCAAAAATAAACATTAGGGGTGCCTGGGTGGCGTAGTCGGTTGGCGTCCGACTTCAGCCAGGTCACGATCTCGCGGTCCGTGAGTTCGAGCCCCGCGTCGGGCTCTGGGCTGATGGCTCGGAGCCTGGAGCCTGTTTCCGATTCTGTGTCTCCCTCTCTCTCTGCCCCTCCCCCGTTCATGCTCTGTCTCTTTCTGTCCCAAAAATAAATAAACGTTGAAAAAAATTAAAAAAAAAAAATAAAGAAAAAAAATAAACATTAAAAAATTTTTTTTGATATTAATATGTACCTCCTAGGGTTCTGTGCAGATTAAATGAGGCAATGCATGTCACTGACTTAGAATAGTGCCTGGCACCTAGTAAGCACTCAATTAAATACGAGGTTTTTTTTAATCTACTCAGTCCTTAAGTCCTATAGATCCAAATTCTGCCATTAGACTGTTCACATCCCTAGGGAACTAGCTCATCACCTCTTCCTCAGTGCCCAGCACAACGTTTCACCATTTCTATTGTTTTGCCTGCCTTCCATGTATTCTCTCTTCTTCTGGTAACAGCACCCCTCCTACTCAAGTCCCTCTGGTTCAGGTGGAGCTGACTCGAACCCAAATCCATGGAGTGGGCTTACAGCTTACTGGTTCAGACCCAATGAGACTCAGGGTGAACCTATAAAACTTAATTATAGGATTTTTTTTGCACAGTTAGGAGGGGCAAATCTCTACTAGCTGAGGTCACTAAAAGGTTGGGGTCTCTTAAGTGGTGGCTGCCACTTTGTCACCATAAGGAGAGAGCCTGGCTAAGAATGGAATCACACAAATGAATAGCTTCGAGTGGAAAGGCAAAAGAGTCTTGATGACATCATTTGAGCCCTTAATCCAACCTGGATTTTGCAGGTCTGTGAGTCCCTATACTTGTTTGCTTAGGCCAGTTTAGTTCGGTAACTTGCTACCACAAAGGCCAGTAAGTGTTCACTTATAGGCAACATTGCCTGTCTTATCTTTAGAAATCAAGTCGCAAGGTCACCCCCAGACTCTTGGCAGCTCCTTAAATACCAAAAGGGGTTTCATTTGCATACCTGTAGCTTCTTGTGCTGCCTGTGATGTAATTCATCAGGTGCCTTGAAAGAGGTAGAGTTAGGGACTTGAGAGATGCCTGGCAGTTCCATCTTAACCACGTGGGTTCTCCTTCCCCACCCGCAATCTAGAGAATCCCCATCTAACATTATCTGTTATAAAAGTAAACACCAAGCAGATATATCTCACTAATTATCCCTTGTGTAAATGACTCTGTGTAAGTGACCTGCTATCATTACCCAGCTTCCAAGCAGCAGGCACTTCACTGTTCTTCCTGCCAAGAACACAGCTAAAAAACCCTTTGTAATTTTTACACAATCTAGTTATCACTGGAATAAAGCCGATCTATTTTAAGGACATGCCCCTGGGGCCTACCCAGAACCTTACTGTTTCTACTTGTTATCCTCCATACCTTGGACATTCTGGCCTCACCTCCCTCCCTGTCTGAATTCTAGAGAACCTGCCCATTCTGTCTTAAACATCAACTATCATCTAAAATGATTAGGGATTAAAAGACAAAATAATATTGACATTTATCGTGAATCAACTATACAACTTAAATGGCGACCGATATTATTTTTTTTAAAGACACAATGGGTCTCTCCCAATCCCTACCCCAATGTGTGTGCGCGCGCACGTGCACACACACACACGCACACACACACACACCCCTAGCCCAATTCTAATAACTTAGGGCCCAAATGGTGATTCTTTACTTTGGGCTGGGCTCTCCATAAACTTCTCAACATTTCTGAACATGTCATGCATTTTCAGGCTTCTGTTCCTGGGCACTAGCTGCTCTATCCTTCCCTCACTTCTCTCACTTGGTGATCGTCAAATTCTGCAAACGTCACCTCCTCTGTGAAGCTTCCCTTACTCGCCCAGGCACCATCACTCCTACCTCCACACTGATGCAATAGTTGTCACCAAGCACATCCTATACATGCAACACATGTGTGCCTAATGCAGCTATAGTACTTATGATTATCTACTAAGTACTTACCAGATTTGTATTAAAGGCACTATATGAGGGTATTTAATTCTAACAATCCCGAGAGAAAGATAACATTATCATCCCAAGTTCAAGGTTAGATGACTTTTGCTTATACCCGTGCAGTTAGTATGAAGTTGAGCTGGATTAAAAATAACATATGGGATGCCTGGGTGGCTCAGTCAGTTAAACATCTGACTTCCGCACCGGTCGCGATCTCACGGTTCACAGGTTCGAGCCCCACCTCAGGCTCTCTGCTGCCAGCACAGAGCCCACTTCGGACCCTCTGTCCCCTTCTCTCTCTCTGCCCTCCCCCTATTTTCATGCTCTCTTTCTCTCTCTCAAAAGAAAGAAATAAACTTAAAAAAATACTCGAAAACAATAATGAGATCTAACTCCTGCCTCAAGATCTTGTGAAAAACTGACAGGACTAGAGCCATTTTAAAATGGAGTTGAAGCAGCCATTGTAGAGAAACTGCCTTACTTGCTTTTGTTTGAACTGGCCAAAACCTTCTGGACAAAATGGTAATTGTTTTTAAACAATTGTTTGAGAAGTCAACAGGAGAACAAACATCATGATCACAAGACTGATGGCTATGGACATTCCAGAAAAAAAAGAAAAGTCAGCAGTTAATATATACCCTGGAGTAGTTTGGCTTGTAAGCATGTGTAGGCAACCTTTGTTCCCCCTTTTAATTCAACTCATGTAACTGCCCCCTATCTCTTCCTCATATAAACCTGTTGCTTTCACCCTACAAGTGGGAATCTTATTTGGGTATGTACTTGAATCTGTGCTCCCCACACTGCAATTCTTTAATCCCAACGAAATGCTCATCTGCCTCTCATTGCAGCTCTTTATTTTCAGGTTGACAATCTTAACCACGATGAAATGTTGCTTCCCATTTATCACATTATATCTTAACTATCTGTAAAATCTCCCCCCCCCTGCCCCCTCCCCATATGTATGCTCCTCACCATGACTGATTGGTCTCCAAATCCATACCAATAAATGTGTCTCAAATTAATAATGTGAATGAGTCGGTCAGGTTGATCCACCCTTTGTCCCCTCAGGGCTTGCAGTTTTATATTCTGAGGCTAACTGTTCAGTGTATATAAATAGAGCCCTTAAAAAATAACACCTAATTGAACTATACATCTAAAAATGGTTAGGGGCGCCTGGGTGGCGCAGTCGGTTAAGCGTCCGACTTCAACCAGGTCACGATCTCACGGTCCGTGAGTTCGAGCCCCGCGTCGGGCTCTGGGCTGATGGCTCAGAGCCTGGAGCCTGTTTCCGATTCTGTGTCTCCCTCTCTCTCTGCCCCTCGCCCGTTCATGCTCTGTCTCTCTCTGTCCCAAAAATAAATAAACGTTGAAAAAAAAAATTTAAAAATGGTTAAAAAGCTAAATTTTATGCAATGTATATTGACCACACTAAAGAAGAGCCTAGAAAAAAAATCGTAACACCTAAAAAACAAACAAATGACGGTGCAAGGGTTCTTAGGAGGAAAGTGAGTCCAAGGCCACTGGGTCATAAGGCGGCAGTGATATGACAGGAAGAGGGAGGGAATGGGATCCAATTGGACCACCACAAAGGGACTAGTCCTTCCCCAGGCCAATGGCTTAAAATAGTTCCCTATTTTGGGCATCTTACCTCACTCTATCCTCACATTAGCGCTATGAAGTATGTGTTCCATTCTTACCTTGCAGGGAAGAACCGTGGCTCAAAGAAATTAGCGGAACTGCCTGAAGTTACAAAAGCATCAGATCTAGCATATGAGGCCAAGTTCTACCAGACTTCAAAGCCAGGGCTCTTCACCAAGTGGGACATCAAAATGAGTGTCACAAATAATACATTTTGCCAGCCTAGAATCTCAGAGATAAAAGGAATCTCATCTTATCTAACCACCAGTTTACAACTGAGGTAACAGAGGCCTGGGTGTCCTTGCTGAAAGTTATGCATTGATGTTGATGACTCCGACAGGTTTTTCTGCTGTAGGTTGGAGGAAATGATCTGGAGTATTACTCTCAGCTTTCTAATTCTAATGGAGAAAATCCCTCTGATCTTAAACCAGGCTGGAGCCCAGGCCTGCCTGAAAGTCAGATGCAACTGGGCTTGGCAAGTGAAGGGAGCTTCTGTCATTCTTCACCTTTCCCCCACATACGGGCTCAGCTTACAGAGGATTCGCCTACAGGCACAAAGGCCACTTTTTCTTTCTCTCTCTCCCTTCCTCCTGCCAAACTTAAGCACTGGGGTTGGGGCTAGATAATCTCATTTTAGTCTGCTTTAGATGTCTGCACAGTTATTTCACCTCAAATGATATTCCTGAGAGGGCGGGGGTGGGCAGCAGGGATAACAACGGGTTAAACAGCTGCCTGATGTGGAGAAAAATAGCAACCTAGTAGTTGGGGATGATACCTGTGATACAATCTATGTTCTGTTCATGGGATGGGGAGCCCTGGCCTCCAGCTCCTGGACTGGGAGATCCCCGATGGCAGTTTGGTGAGAGAGGAAGCGAGAACGGTCTTTGAGACAAATTTGGGACTTGGCACCAGGAACTAACCGGTGAGCGAGTAGAGAAGTTAAAGTCTGGTTTCAGATGGTAAAAGAACTTCAGGAAGTCTCTAACATTGAAAAAGGAGTCCTGGCAGCTGAGATTAAGGCTGGGAGTTGAAAGGCTGGGAAAACCGAAAGTTTTTTTTTATATTAAAGAAAATACCGGGTGAGGGGCGCTTGAGTGGCTCAGTCGGTTTA